TTTTTTTTTTTTTTTTTTTCTAAATGTAATATGGAATATATATATTTTTCTAAATATATTTTTTAAAATATGTAAAATTATATTTACTTTTCTCCCAAATACTTTTTCAGAAATTACTATAGTACTGTATGTTCATGAGTCTGTTTCTAAAATATAGTGTTATTAGTGAATTGTGTTTGGTGTGTCAGTATAACAAATGTAATTTTGATTTCTTTTTATAGGGTACTTGTCAGGATTGTAAAGTCAGAGGACCAAATCTTTGGGCATGTCTGGAGGTATGTATATGTTTTTTCCTTAAAGTTTGCTATAATAATAATAATAAATGTAAATCTGAATGATCATGACCCGAACAAATTTTGACACTTGAAGGGATTTTTGTAAATAAACATGGTTTTAGAAGATCATTATTGATAACAAAAAATTAAAATAACTTAGCGTTTTTCCAGAATTTTTAGTAAATCATTCTGAGATATTTTATGACTATTAGAAATGACGTAGCTTTTTTGACTCAGCACCTGTAGCACAGTGGTTATAGTGCCAACCACATACACTGAGGCTGGCATTTCGAACCCAACCCAGGCCAGCTAAACAGCAATGATAACTGCAACAAAAAATAGCTCGGCATTGTGGCGCGCTCCTGTAGTCCCAGCTACTTGGGAGGCTGAGGCATAAAAATCGAATAAGCCCAGGAGTTTGAAGTTGCTGTGAGCTGTGATGTTGAGGGTGACATAGCGAGACTGTCTCAAAAAAAAAAAGAAAAAATTAAATGATGTAGCTTTTAGCTTAGAAATATATATTCTGGTTTTATTTTGTGCCTTGTATCTTTTGGTTAAATTAACTGACGATGGAAATTCATTTACTCATTGTGTTGAAATATGTAATCAAAACTTAATTGTAAATATAATTGTACCTGTAATGTTATTATAAATATGAATGTATGAAATACCTTATTTTACTTCCTGTATGATTATTTACAGAATAGGTGTTCATATGTTGGCTGTGGTGAGTCCCAAGTAGATCACAGCACCATACACTCTCAGGTATGTATATGAAAATGTTCACGATGTTTTAAAAATGAGACCCTGAAGGAGAGGGACCCAGTGTAGTGTTATTAATTCATGCTGTGATTCAAAACTTTGTGCTTTTTTATGAGTTAAAACTTCACTTATACTATCTGTGAAAGGTAGGGAGGTGTGAAGAAGATCAATATTAGAGTAGAATTATAATTAGGAAAGTATTGATTTAGAGCTGGGCGCGGTGGCTCACGGCTGTAATCTCAGCACTCTGGGAGGCCGTGGTGGGAGGATCCCTTAAGCTCAGAAGTTGGAGACCAGCCTGAGCAAGAACAAGACCCCTTCCCTACTAAAAACAGAAAAATTAGCTGGGTGTTGTGGCAGGTGCTTATAGTCCCAGCTACTTAGGAGGCTGAGGCAGGAGGATCGCTTGAACTCAGGAGTTTGAAGTTGCTGTGAACTAGACTGATGCCACAGCACTCTAGCCAGGTCAACAGGGTGAGACTGTTTCAGAAAAAAAAGTATTGATTTAAAAAGTACACGTCCAGAGGTATGGAGGTGGCAGCTAGTATGAGGAGGAGATCGAGCTTGAAACTGGAGAGTGCATGTTCGGGTTTGTGTCATGGCCTGGTTGTCTTCAAGTCTCACTGGTATCGTACTGCCTATTCCTGCACATCATTCGGACTAGAGTCCCCTTTCTGCTTTGTTCTGGTTGTTTGATTCTTCCTATGTGACTCTGGCATGCCTATTTTATAGTATTAGATAGAGCTCTCATTCTACACTGTAGGTTTCTTAAATGCACTGTTTTAAGATGTGTATTGATGTCTCTACAACATCAACTGTTGTCAGCCAGGATTCTCCAGAGGATTAATTAAGCTCAAATACCCAAAGCCTTATGACATCAGTGTACATAATTTACTTCTCTTCTGTGTATCTAAAATAGTACTTGCTATGTAGTCACTCAAGTCATTTTCTGTAGGGTTAAAATTCTCTTGCAAAATTCTGGTTGAGAAAGGCTGAACTTTTATCTGTCCAAGATCATATATTCCCTATTGCTTGAGCTTGATCTGTGTCTTTTGTGTTCTTTTGCTATTCTGATTTCCTAGAATAGTTACTTGCTATTGTCAGTTATTTCCTTGTAGTCCACTTACTTGTGAAATGCAGAGCAGTATCTTACATTCTTGCATTTGTCTTTGTATAATGCATAGTGGGAGGAAAATGACAAAGGAATAACTTCTAGAGTAGACTGAGATATTATTACTATTCACTAGACTTCAACAGTTTATCTGAAGAACTGTTTTTTGAAGCTCTATGTTATCTTTTTTCAGTGTATTATTTATCAAAGGCCCTTAGTTTATGCTCTATATAATCTTGAAGAAATGTTTTCGAGCATGTCTAATTTGGCTCCCCTTCTTTCTCTGCCATGAAATTGTACAGGAGACAAAACATTATCTAACTGTGAACCTTACCACTCTTCGAGTATGGTGTTACGCTTGCAGCAAAGAAGTATTTTTGGATAGGAAATTAGGAACTCAGCCTTCATTGCCTCATGTAAGACAACCTCTCCAAACACAAGAGAACAGTGTGCAGGTAATAATCTCAATTCATTTAATTAAGATAACAAACAGGTAATAATTTCAGAATTTGTCCTATGGTTGAGATTTAGAAAAGGAATCTTGCCTAACATGTACTTTAAAAAAAATTTCTGTCATGGAAGCAGCCCAAGTGCCCATTGCCCCATGAATGGATTAACAAGTTGTGGTATGTGTACACCATGGAATACTATGCGGCCATGAAAAGATGGAGACTTTACCTCTTTTATGTTTGCATGGATGGAGCTGAAACATTCTTCTTAGTAAAGTGTCTCAAGAATGGAAGAGAAAGTATCCAGTGTATTCAGTACTATTATGAAACCAATACATAATCACTCACACCTTCATATGAACGATAAAACACAAGTGTAGCCTAGAATGAAGGAGGAAAGGGGAGGGTGAGGAGAGGGGAGGGGGCTGGCTAGATGGAGGGAGGGTACTTGGTGGGACCTCACCTATTGTGCATATTGCAAGGTTACATGTTAAATTTATTAAGAGTAGAGTATAATGTCTTAACGCAACAATTAAGTAAGTGAGGTGAAGGCTGTGTGAACCAATTTGATGTAAGCATTCCAAATTGTATACAAAATCAGCACATTATACCCCATAAATTCAGTAATGTACAGAGTTTTGTTTCAAATAGTTCTTCATAACACAAAGAAATGGTAAATGATTCCCAGTTGCCCTGATTTGATCATTACACATTGTACACTTGTATCAAAATATCACAGGTATCCCATAAATACATGCAACTGTTATGTACCTATAAAAATTAAAAATAAAAGAATAAAATTCCTCTTGCTTCACATACACACACAAAAATTTCTGTAGTGTCCTGCCCTGGATCATCCATTCTGTTTCAGTACCGGAACTTTGGAACTAAGTGGTACATACATTGAAAAGACAAAACATGAGAGCCTGTTAAGGGGCAGTTAGAAGGGGTCAGCGAAGTGATGATGAGGTCTGGAGTAGGAAACGGTAATAGGGAAGGAAAAGAGACACTGGTTGATACACAGGGAAGGCTGCGGAGAAGAACCTGCTAGAGGATTCCTGGGGTTCTCCCTTTTGTTTTGGGGTGGATGCAGCTATACTAATGAAAATAAAGATCATGCTCAGTGCCTGTAGCTCAAGTGGCTAAGGCAGTAGCCACATATACCAGAGCTGGCGGGTTCAAATCCAGTCCAGGATTGGCAGACAACAATGACAACTGCAACCAAAAAAATGGTGGGTACCTGTAGTCCCAGCTACTTGGGAGGCTGAGGCAAGAGAATCGTTTGAGCCCAGGAGTTGGAGGTTGCTGTGGGCTGTGATGCCATATCACTCCACCCAGGATGACAGCTTTGAGGCTTTGTCTGAAAAAAAAAAAGGAAAAGAAAAGAAAGATCAAAAGATAAGATGAGATGATGATGATGATAAGAATGTAGACAATATTTCTTGACTAATTTTTTGATTGGCATTGATTTGGACACTCCTCACAAATTTATCCCTCATAGCCCTGTTAGATAGGTACAATTCATTAGCTCTATTTTATAAATAAGAAAACTGAGGTATATGAATTAATTAACTTCAGATGATAAAGGGCAGAGGATGTCTTACTTTGAAAGCATAATGAAAGGACCAGAGAAGACTGGACTTGAAAAGGGATTCTTGAGATTCATGGAAGTGGATAAAGCCAGACCTGGGATAGCAGCTTGTCTACCTTTCTCAAAATAATTAAACTTTTCTTTTCTTTTCTTTTCCTTTCCTTTTCCTTTTCCCTTTCCCTTTCCCCTTCCCCTTCCCTTTATTTTCTCTTTCCTTTTCTAGTCTCACTTTGTTGCCCTCAGTAGAGGGCTGTGGGGTCACAACTCACAGCAACCTCTAGCTATTGGGCTTAGGCAATGCTCTTGCCTCAGCCTCCTGAGTAGCTGGGACTACAGGCGTCCACCACAACACCTGGCTATTTTCTTTGTTGTTGTTGTTACAGTTTGGCTGGGGCCAGGTTCGAACTGGCCATGCTTGGTGTATGGGGCTGGTGCCCTACTCACTGAGCCACAGGCACCACCCTCCTCCTTTTTTTTTTTTTT